TTTTTAACCCAGAAATTAAAATGCAGTTTCTTCTTTAATGGTTCAAACACTGATGAAGAGAATAAGCAGACAAAAACTAATTTTGATTATTCAAAATCCATATTTCATTACAAATCGTAAAAATCTTGCGTAGCGTTAGTTCTGGCAGGTCACCCCACCATGGGGGGGGGGTTATCGCTGCTCTCCCTGATGCGCAGGGAGTTCTTGCCCAGAACAGAACCATACCACCAATCCAAACTGTATGCTAACAGTAGATCAAACAATCATTGTAAAAAAAAAATAGAAAAACTTTGTCGAGATAACGAGAAAATGAAGTCGTTATAACGAGAAAACAAGAAGGAATAAAATAATAATGCATGTCCGCTGAGAACTTCCGTAATCGCTCCTATGAAATTAGCTATATTTTTTCCCAAATTCCATTTTTATATTTGAAATTAGCTAAATTCATCTTTTTAAAATTGGACTCTGAGTTAATGCTTAAATTAAATTTTAGCAATCAAAAAGCATGTCTAATCAATTGAATTCATAAAAACAACTTAAAATTTTACAGAGTAATAGGGCCCTATGAAATGTTTTTTTTTTTCTCTCAGAAATGTTATGTTGTGTAGTTAAATTATTTTGGTAATCAAATGAAGGCAAAAAAACATTAATTCATTTGTTAATCAAATAAAATAAAACAAACAAACAAACAACGTGCTGCAAAACAGAGGTTTACTGTTAAATTGTTGTACTGAAAAATTGTTTGAGTATTTTTTAAATAAAGTTTTAATAATAATAATAATAATAAAGTTTCCATGTGTATCTGGCAATAGTAGAAATGATGAAATGCTGCTGAAGTGTCTCTGAGAGCAGCTCTGGAGATGAAGTTCATGTGTTCATGTCCTCACGAGAGACACGTGTTTGAGTTTGTGTAGTAGATTCCACAATTCCGTCCATGTTTTCCACATCATGGAAATCATTGGAATTTATATACATCTTACCGCTGAACACCTGAGCAGAGTTTTGTGGCCCTCCAGAGAGTGAGAGGAGTAGCCTAGCCTGGCTGAGCTGCAGAAGCAGGTTAATGGGGTCCGGATCAAGAGACATCGGGACTGAGAACAGCAGCCCTTCCTGATTCCATGTGCGGAACTGCAGTCGTACAGAGAGACTCTCCATACTGTAATCTGCGGGAAGCATCAGGAAGCTGCCAGTGGAACCGAGGAATGTCACAGCGACTGAGGAAGACTCAGAGCATGAGAATGTCACGTTGCCCTTTGTAAGGAAGAAGGAGGGAAGAAGATAATGAAAGAAAGGATGAATATGTGGAGAGGAGAATTAAACCCAATGGATGTGTGCTGGTAGTCGGGTTAAAAACACAAAAAATTTAATTTTTCTTTTACCTTAGCAAACAGTTTAACACTCTTTAGATCAGCATTTTTCAAACTGGGGTCTGTTTCAAATAGTCTGAAGTTTTGCAGAATAGCTAGTGAACAAAAATCTCATTGCAAACAATATGATAGAGTGCAGCTCTTCTTCCAGAGGCTCTGTACGCTCTGTATTTAGCATAGACATGCCAAAAAAGTCTTCAAAAAAGAGTTTAAAGGCTGGGACAAAACAAATTGTTTTTTAAAATCAAATTTAAGTTTTTTAAATCAAATTTAAGACTTTTTAAGACCTGCACATACAACAATATTGTATGTTCATACAGAACAAACCCAAACAATCTCAAAATAAATAATCAGATTCAATTTTACTAGATTCATTTACTTAATCAAACAGGCACTCATTTAATTGCATAACAGGGTAGCTGCAAGTTGAAAATACTCAAGACATGTTTCATTAAATATATACATATGTATTGAAGTTGGTTTATGTAGTAATATATCAATACATGTGAATTAAAGGTTGATCAATATTGTATTTTGCTCATTTAACAATAAAGTGTTTTAAAAAAAGGCAATAAACAGATTGTGAATATTGAATGTGATAAGTAATCGTGTTAGTCTTTATGCATTATGCATAATACTGTATAAAATATCACCTTTTGAAGTTTAATAATCATACTAGGCTGTATATTGATTCCTGTTTTCCTCCAAATTTAATACCTCTTCAAATGATTATAAGACTTCATATCATTAAATGATAATTAAGACTTTTGGTGTACCATTTAAGAGATTTAACATTTCTTGTGACCTTAAAGTTGATCAAACTGAATTTAAGAGTTTCAGGACCCAAGGGAATCTTGATTTTGATAAAATCATCAAGTTTGAGAAACCTGCTTTAAGGTGGAGATCAAAATTAGAGAACAACCTATAATTTTCAAAATTTCAATTTGAAGTTATCCTAACAGGAGTAGGACATTTTTTAAGCATGTTTGATAAATTAATTGTATTCTGAAGCACAGTAAAAACCTTAAATGAGATATTTGAAAAAGAGAGATCAAAATTATAGAACACTTAGAGATACGTCCAAGTTATTGAAGGCCAAAGGGTTGACCCTTTCAGTCACTGCAAGAGAAGTTGGTTGTTCCAAATCTGTGATTTCTTGAATATTGCAGGTTTACAGTGACACTTATTCATTCAATTCCCCCCAAAAGGCTGGTTGTCCGTGTAAGACGAATGCAAGAGAAGACAGGATAATGCAGAGACTCTCAATGGGGAATTGGTTCAACACTGCAGCTGGAATTGTTTGCCAGTTCAGTACTGAACAGGGTAAGGATCTGTCTCGGCATGTTTAAGAGAAGTCGGACTGAAAGCATACTCTGCACTCTGTGAAGTTGAATTTATTTGGGTCTGATGGGAAACATTTTGTTCAGCATCAAATTGAGGAAAGACTGAAGCCCAAGTGCGTAAATAAGTCAGAGAAAGATGGAGGAGGAAGTGTCATGGTTTGGGGGATGTTTTCTGCAGCTGAAGTTGAGCCTCTTATACAGCTACATGGCAGAGTGAATGCAAATCTTTATCAGAACCTCCTTCAGCAACATGCAGTTCTTTCCCTGAAAGCATCTCTCAATCAGCCTCCAATTTTTCATGCAAGACAATGCCCCTGTCACACTGCAAAACGGGTAAAGCAGTTCCTTGAAGCTAAGAACATTAAAATAATGAAATGGCCAGCCCAGAGTTCTGATCTAAAACCGATTGGAAATTCAATTCGACAACGTTGGCTAAGAAACCCACTACAGTTACCAAACTGTGGAAGAGAGTGGAAGAAAAGTGGACAAATATCACATCAGCGTAGTGTGAGAAACTATTGATATCCTGCAGCCGCAGATGTGCTGAAGTCATTCAAAGCAAGGGCCTCTACACTTCCTACTAATTTCTGACAGCTGTAACCATCCAAAATTTTAGTTGTAATCTTCTTTCATGCTACAGTGGTTACTGTTCTCTAATTTTGATCACTGTTCTCTAATTTTGATCACTGTGTTTTTCACAAAATAAAGGTTTTTGTTGAAATGCCTTGGATATGTTGTCTAACATGTTAATAGAACAGTGGTATATCTACAGCGAATATTCCTTCAAATTTTGAGCGATGAAGATTAACAATATTTCAGAAAACAATCTAGTATTTATAAATTGTTCTCTAGTTTTGATCTCTACTCAATACCTCGCAACACTTTAATGATGAAACATTTGCTTGTGTGCATGAATGCAGTGGTGCTGTGTTTAATTTAACTATTGTTTTGAGGACCTTTGAGAAGTTAAAGTTCTCAGATCGTTTTGAAAGTGTAATCTACATGAAGAATATTACATACAGTTGCTACAGTTTTAATCTGCCTTTTCTGCCTTTTAATCACAATTAATAATCATAACTATAATATCCTGCAGCTCTAAATTATATTTTACTGCAACAGCTTATTGTATAAATAGTAAATAACTATAGCACTGCATGCACATTATTTAGTCAGTGATGTGTGGAGCGCCTCAATCTTTGCATGGACTTCAGCATGTACTCTAGTGCAAAAAGCTGGTGAGATCTTTATCTTAAAATGCCTCTGACAAGAGGGAGGGAAAGACAAAATAAAGATCACTATGTGACACTGCTCTTCTTTTCCTGTGTGTGATTTTCCTGCGTATTAGACCAGCCAGAGAGAGCGAGAGAGAAATGGACAAAAGGAGAGACTTCACAGTCTGTTAATTAGGGAAAGAGAGCTCTTTTATGGTGCGATACACACAACTTCACACAACTACAGAAACACACTTTAGATACACACAGAGCTACTGCAATTTGCCAAGTGACATTGTTGTAAATTGCTTTAGATATAAAGGTCTATTGTGTGAATAAAGTTATTTAAATGACACAACACAAAAAATGTCAACAAAGCTACACTTTTGTGGTCTCCCATTACTTTCTGAATAGTGAGGTTTCAACTCACAACCTTGACAGAGAGTGAGATTTGATGGCCTTCAAACTCGCTGGTGCCATTTGATTCTCACAATCGATGGGCATGTTGAAAAGCGATATTTACAGTTACAAAAGCAGTTGTAAAGGTTCATGCTTACCACTGTATAGATCTGCGGCTTCCGTCTTTTTGCCATGTCTATAACATTGACGCCATTGTAGTTGAGGTTTTCTATGCAGCCGTGGAAATTTTCATGGAGAAACGTCCCAGGCTTACCAGGCAAAGGGATTCCTCCAAAACTGAGCTTGAATAAGGACACACAAACACACAAACAGAAACACACACACATGCTCATGCACACGCACGCATGCACACACACACACACACACACACACACACACACACACACACACACA